TCTCCCCTACAGTTGAAGCGTTGTGGTGGGGAGTGCCGTGGCATCGCTTCGGCGTTCTGTGACGCACATGAGGCCAAAATTTTTGGGATTGCTATTTTATTTTAATGCTCTCCCGCAACGATTTGAGCGCCTATAAGGATAAAGAGGTAGAAGCGCGTGCTAAATTCAAGAAATAGGTAGTATTATATTTTAATGAAAATTCGATGTTTTGATTCTTTTAATGATTGAAAATAGTTGAAAAACGTTAAATATTTGATAAATATTATTTCAAAATTTTACGTCATTATTGTAATTTTTACATGTGAGGCCCGGCCTCAGTTGCTTTATACGACGAGCCGCCACTGGTTCACATACATTTGGTTTAGTAGGGTTTAGAGGTTAATAGTATATTGTTGTATTAGGAGTAGAAGCTTTACTTTTTTGTGCTGAAGCAGTAGGTTTGCGAGCCGAACGTAGTGAGGTTTGCAATACTGCTGAAGCACAAAAAAGTGCTTCTACTCCGTATGCAACACGCTATTTTTTCTCCAAACGAATGGGGTAAGCTCGGGGTTAACTGAATGGTTAAGCGGCAGTAAAAGTACGAGCGGCACTAAAAGTACTTTTGCTGTCGCTCCAGCGGCACTAAAAGTACTTCTACTGCCGCTGCGCTTGCCTAGCAGCATAGAAATTTAATTTCTACCACTTCGACAGGTGTTAACCCGCTGAATTTGCCTACCAGCATAGAAATTAAATTTCTAACATCTTGACAGGTGCTGACAAAGTGACGTTTTTTTGACGTTTGGAGAAAAAATATATTATGATCAGGAATTGATAAAAAAATCATGAATAGATGGGAATGATCCAGCACGTCTTGTATTGTTCGTCTTTGAAACGAACATGTACGTCTTCTACAAGACGTACGCAATATAGATTTTCACGTACGTTCTCAGTACGTACTTTTTTGTCCGTGTGTTAATACAGTTTTCTACGTACATACTCAAAACGTACTTTTACATCCCCGACGAACCGACGTAAAAAGGACCTAAAATGTACGTCTTCAGTACCTATTGTGTTTGTTGGGATTGGCATAATATTCTTTTGAGAACATAACTATAATTTAATAGAAAAATTCTTTCAATGTGAGAATATACATTTCAAACAAGAATATTCTTTTCAGGATGTACTGAGAATCTCATAGGTACCTATATTCTAGGAATATCCCAATGGATTTCCCAGGAAGTTCTTGGGTATTGCAAACAGTATTTCTACAATCTTCTCAGAACATTCTCAGGACATTCGCAATGGTTTTAGCGAACATTCTAGGCACATTCCTCCTAAAAAAGAATATCCTTATTACATTCTAAGGATGCAATTTTGTTATGTGGGAAAAGGTCTTCACAGACTTCAATTTTATACCAACTGTAATCGAATAGGGTTAGTAATGAGAGAGGGATAATTTTTATTTATTTTTATTTATATAATATTTGTTTATTGGATTTATTACTTGAATATGAGTGATGGAATTAGGGTATTTGATGTGAATTCAGGATTTTGTTCATGAATTCAATATTTCATATTTTCCTTATTACCTACATATAAGTATGTGATTATAGTTATAGTTATTTAGTTATCATTAAGCTGCGTATCGATAACGCGAGGCAGCCGCGCGCGGCAAAAACCTGTATTCGAGTGCGCCAGTGTTCGATGGTTTGCCGCGGGTAATCGATAGGCAGCTTTATATTATGTATATTTAAGTTGTTCTATAATATAATAATAATTTCCTTGTTGTGGCAATAGATGGGGTTATTAATGTGTTAGTTGGCAACAGTGTAATGACAGATAGACAGATAGAAAAGGATTGTTGTCAAGGATTGTTATCAACTGTTGATTGATTTTGTTTTTGTGGTTAAAAAAAAATGAATAAAAAATACCTATTAGTCCAGGAGGTGGCGCCAAAAACATGCAAGAGTTTTCGCAAGGCGGATATTTTCAAAATAGGTAGTACTTTAGTGCTAGAATGCTAGTGTACAGTCAGCACTCACAGTTCCAGGACAGCTGGCTCTGGGACGCGGGTAAAGTTGTAATTTTAAGAAGCATCTAAACTGTTTCCTCAAAGCTCAAAATTTATAGAAATTTTGCACATTACCTGTTTGAAGGTCACAGATAACGTATGTAAATCGCCAGACGTCTAGTTCGTTGCAAAAAGGGGGTAAGACGTCCTCAAAGTTTTTATTTTATGGCATTTTCTTCGGTGTCCTGTCAAAATATATTTTTGCAGGTATTTGACAAATATATTTGAAGAAAATGCCATAAAATAAAAACTTTGAGGATGTCTGACCCCCTTTTTGCAACGAACTAGACGTCTGACGATTTACATACGTTATCTGTGACCTTCAAACAGATAATGTGCAAAATTTCTATAAATTTTGAGCTTTGAAAAAACAGTTTAGATGCTTCTTAAAATTACAACTTTGCCCGCGTCCCAGAGCCAGCTGTCCCGGAACTGTGAGTGCTGACTGTACACTAGCATTCTAGCACTAAAGTACGACCTATTTTGAAAATATCCGCCTTGCGAAAACTCTTGCATGTTTTTGACGCCAGCTCCCCAACTATATGGTTGAACCAAATCCAAACGGCAGTAAATGACAAACTGGTGATTTTCATTAAAACCTATCAAATGTCCTCCGTGCATGCGCACTGGTCCAGGTAGGACGATTCAATTAATAGGAAGGCTGGTATTTGTTGACAATTTAGGTTATTTAATGTCATTTACTGCCACTTGGATTTGGAAATGGAGAGTTGTTTTAGAAACAGAATAATAATAATTTTGTATATTGTATATTGTATATTGTTCAGTCATAGAGATTTGCTCAGTGTAATATATTGAGAATATAAACTTCTAGTGGATTCATTTGAAAGCACACAAATAATAACAAACTTAATGCGAAGAATACCCAAAGAGATCCCAATAAAGAATATGAAGGTGAACCCCTCTCTAAAAATACTGTGATCAGAAGCCCTCAAGGCAGTTGAACAAAGCAAACAAGGAAAAGCATCAGAACCAGAAGATTTATATACAGAGATAAGAAAGCTGCTGAATGACGAGAACGTAGACTCCCTGGTGGAAATATTCAATAACATTTATGAGACGCGTGAGATATCACAGATATCCAGTCATTTTTTCTATCGATCCCAAAAACACCAAACACGTGATCAGTTCCGAATGATCAGTTTGATGAGTCAAGTCTTGAAAATGTTCTTGAAAATAATCCATACGAGAATTTCCAACAGATACGGAAGAGACATTGCCCCTACTCTGTTCGGCTTCAGACAAGGCTTCGACACACGTCAAGCACTTTTCAGTCTAACACACATTGAGCTAATAAAGATGCTTCAAGATAGGATGATAGATGAGAACGATCTACGATTTATAAAGAACCTGGCCCTAAATCAAACAGTATCGGTGAGAGTGGGAAGTGACACTACACAGAAATTTCTGATAGAAAGAGGATGAGTAAGACAGGGTTGCGTTCTGTCCGCCCTACTCTGCAATCTATACTCTGGAACGAATGTGCCTTGAAGGAAGTCGAGGTCGGCAACAAGAATACTGGACAGGTTAGCAGACGGCTACAAACATTACAAGCCTTGTTGATAGAATAGTAATCGAAGGCGAACGCGTTCGCGACTCAAGAATAACATAAACAAACCGGAACTAGGTAATGATGATTAGCAGAATACCAAATGTGCATTTGAAAATCGCAGTGAATGGCGGGATAATCCAGCAAGTCGCAAAGATTAGATACCTGGGAAGGTGGCTAACTGAAGATCTAGATCCAGACGTAGAAATGCGAGACAGAATTGAGCAAGCCCGGGCAACATTTATGAATATGAGAGGTCTTCTCAGCAACAACAGTCTTCACTTGACCTTACGGTACCGTTTTGTAAAATGTTACATTTCCTCCGTGTCACTGTACGAAGTGGAGACATAAACAATTAAGGCCAGTGTCATGATCCAACGGATCGTGTGTTCAACGAAGAAGTTCCTAATAGAATGGAATACGAGAAAGTTTTCACAGATAGTAAAAAGAAGGAAATTTGCATACCTGGATCTTATATTCAGAAATTCTAACTATCAATTCCTAAGCTGATGATGGAAGAGGAAAGATTGAGGGAAAGAGAGGCATCGGGAGAAAGAAAATATTCTTGTCTAAAGAACATAAGACACTGAACAAACCTCAGTCGCCCATTCGCGGCATATGCCAAAATTGTCGCCAACATTCATTCTTGGATAAAGTACCTTAAGAAGAAAGCAGCTAAAGCCTAATTTTATGTCTGAATCCTGAATCAATTTTCCATATAGATTTCCCTAGACATTATTACATTTGAGTTCTGTAACTTGACAAAATATGCGATGGGATTTTGTTCTGGATCTTCCAATGCCTAGTATAGTATTAGAAACTTGTTCCTTCAGGGAGTCTCATGCTCATACGATGGAATGGAAAAACCTTCGAGTCATATTGGTAGGCCTTCTGGATCGGTTTTTGTTCAATTTTCCTTCAACAATATCTCTGATAAGCGTGTCTTTCTTTTCAATTCTACGTCAATTTACATATCCAAATTTTAAAAGAATATCGTAAGACCATTTTCCCACAATATATACTTCTAATTATCCCTTCCGAAACTTCCAATAATAACACCCTCAATGATTATGATGAACATTCTTAATACATTTTCTCAGAAAAAGGAACACTGTCGACTTGTTCCTAAAATGTGTTTTATGGGAAATACCAGGCTAGTTAGAGAAAAAGGTAAGGATCAAGCGGCTCGCGGAATTGGTTTTAGATAAACAAAAAAACATCAATTTTTTCCATCTAAATTAAAATTTCCCAAATCCCTAATCAGTCAGTGGAATCGATCAACCTACATTACACATAAGTACCTACTTATAACATCTTAATCCAAGTGTGGTGTGGTTATCGATTAATACCTACAAAAAAAAATAGTTCGCGTAACTAGATAATCTTTTTCACTAGAAAAGTACTTGAAAACAAATAAACAAAAGATTAATCAGGAATCCAGGTTTGTATATAAAGTCGAGATGATCTAAATGTAAGTATAGTTCCTGAAACGACTTCAAATCAAACAACTAAAATGTCCCATAAAAGTTTGGCAATTTTTGTATTAGCTTGCAGCCTTTCTGGTAAGACAATTTCTATAGTGAATTTCAGACAACTAATTATTATTATTCAATATCATCAGCTGTTTTTGCTGCAAGATCCTGCTACCTTTGCAATTCGTACACTGATTATGATCATACAGCTTGCGTTGACCCCATGAGCCCTTATCCAGCAGTAAATTACACTATATGCGGTGACTCTTACTTGTGTACACGTGTGTCTTACATTACACGTAAGTATTTTTTTTTTCTTGAATACAAACAACTAGAACCATAGTTATATTTTTATGCAGAAAAGCAATACGTCGTGTCCAGAGGCTGTGACCCAGCAGGAAACACTTGTAATAACATTTACAACACGTTGCGGGGTTATTATCCGGATATTTCCAGTTTCAATTGTTACACTTGTGGTGTCAACTATTGTAACGGTGTTTCTGGATTGTATCATGCCGCCGAAATAAAGAATGAAGATGAAAAGGAATACGAAAATGGAAATATTGTATAAGATTCAGTGAAATAAATTATTATTGATACTATAACCCTTTAGTTTTTCTGTTTATACATTCTTATATAGTGAGTTTCGAAATATGATGTTTCGGGTTTGAGGGCACGATTTCGTATTAATTCCTGAACTACCAATAGTAGCGTCAACACTCTTCGCAATCTAACATCTGCCCTACTCCAAAGTATCTTTACCTTACAATCACATATTACCAGTTTTCTGATAAGATTGAAAGATCCTGAGGTATTGACTACTGAAAGTAGGATGAGTGCATCTTTTGTCATTTGACTTAAGATGTCCAACATCATAAAAAAAAATCATCAGGTACTTAAATTATACAACACTCTCATTTTCTTTATTCAGTTCAGCTGCAAAATGGACAAAAATCACAATAAAAAGTGTCCCATTGTCAATCTAGCTCACACATACCTCAACATCGTTAGTATTGTATTCAATGGCCAGACAGTATACTTTGTAACAAATAATTTTTTTAAAAAATTAGACAAAAACACAAAAATGTAAACACATACCACTTATTTGCTGCCTGAGAGGGCGCCATATGTTACGCAGCATCATTATTTGTTAATAAAACGATGTCTTTTTTCCAAATAACTTTTTATTAGGGCCATAAGATGTCGTTAGTGTCAATGTCGTAGAGGAACAATGCAACATTCTGCCTCAAAAATTTCACTCGTATGGCGCCACCGGTTCGCTTTTATTGTGTAAATAAATTACGCGAACGTTTCATTATGTCGATGACGTTTTGTTTGTAAATCATTTAAAAGCTTTTCCTTTGAGAAGTTAAGATATTCCCATAAAGCAGATTCGAAACATGCGCAAGTGGATGTAGGAAAAAAAATCGAGGCGGACTTATGGGTATCGAGTTGACTCGAACGGATTAAAGATTGACGTCTAAATAGAATAGATGTCCAACAAGCGTTGGGAAAACGATATTTTCGAGCCGATACACGTTAGTTTACACACGTACCTTCTACGTGGGAATTTACCTACTTTAACCATCACGATCTTGGAAACGATATAGTCAGTCCCAAAAAAAAACTTGATGGAATTATTATTTGTTGCCTTCGTTATAGTAAGCACAAAGAAAAAAATGAATGACTTGTGGTACCAACATATCGGCAATTTTACACCTTACTACGCCAACAAGGCTTTTGTTTTGTTTCTCTCGTAGAAATTTATTTATCTCTGGTACTGCCGCGCCTCGAAACTTGAAATATTGGAATATGTTGTGAACAATACGATGCGGCGGTACCACTGCTACAGAAGGCCTAGTATTTATTGGTTGATAAGGTACGTAGGGTAACGTATGGTAATTACCTTTGTGGATTTATAGGTATTGTACCTAGGAAAAGTTGGAAATTGAGGATCCATATTATATGATTTGAGGCACAGCATGGAAAGAAATAATGGAGTTTCAAATAGGACTTTGATAGTTTGATTTTCGCGTTTAGTGCCTCAATTATTAGTCATCAAATTGCTGTTTATTAAAAAACCGCGAACGTCTAAATTTTCGAGTAGGTACTGAAGGGTCCCTCCAACACCCTTTAGTAGAGTCACTTCTAACCAAGTTTTGTGCAGATAAGTGAGTACAAAGTCTTATCTTATTATCATAAACATGACCCTATAAAGTCATACAAAATCATCAGAAAAGGTGGTAGTAAAAGGCGTTATCCGATTAGGTAGGTAGATGAAAACTGACTTTTTGCAAAGAGAGATTTTCAATGGTAAACTCTTCTTCGGCGTTATTTTTCATCACTTTTGCTTTCCCTATAATCATCGTCAGGTTCATTTCTGCCTATGCTCTTGTCAACTGAGTAACCAGTAGGTATTGTTTCAAAACTGTTAAGAATAAGTACGATGTCATCGGCGGGCTGTATAGATGCAGTAATTCAGTTGGTTGTCATTTATATTTATGTCATGTCTAAAACAGTCTTGTTTCTTAATACAACCTATACATTGTCAGCGTAAGAAGTTTGCAAGGAAGTATCTCATCTCTCCTTGGTTATTTCCTCTCGAATGGGATTGGTGTTTTCTTCCAGCTGTACTGTCAAACTGGAATTTTTGTAGATGATGTGAATAAGCTGTGTCTATCAACTCGAGGGTTGTTAAGATTTCTTTCTATGGTCCAGCAGAACTCAATGTTATGCAGTACTGTCTCATAATCCACGGAAGCGAAATAGAAGGATTTGTGTGTGGTATTTGTTGGTTTTTTTCTCTGACTGAATTACAGAATTACCATCACCATGGAAGCCTGTTCAATAGTTTGGTAACTTTCCATTTCAGGTTGATTTCTTTCATTGACACTTTTGCATATTTGCATATTTGGGTTAATAACGAAATGGGGCAATGCTTTTCGCGGTTAGTCATAACATCTTCTTTCAAAAGCAGAAATACTAGGCTATTATAAAATTCCTGTGGTATTTCCACATTCTTTAAACATTGGTTAAATAATCTTTTTCTTAGTGTAGATATGAAAACCGTGTTCCAGAGTTTCATCTTCTCATGGTGATTTGTTGTTTTCCAGATCGTCAGTTACCTTTTCGATCTCAAACATTTTTTTTTTTTTTCGCTGATTATTGATTTGTGTCTCCATGGTGGGATCTTAATTGCTTTGAACTCAACGGAATATATAAAACCTTTCCACTGCTGAAGTGATTCGGTTCTTGTCATTTTATTTTTTTCATCTTCATTCTCCATACGCATGGTTTTGTTAGTAGCAACCTGGTCTTCATTTTAAGGCATTTTAGGCCTTTATAAACTTTTCTATGACTCATTCTTTGTTGGTTTTCTTTATGTCTTTTCTGCTTGTTCGATATTTCATGGTACTTCCATTGGCTAGAAGACTTCTTCTTTGCCTCATCAATCCCCTTATTTCAGCTCTTATTAAATTCTTCTTTTAAGTTCTTTTTATTTTTCTTAAAGTCGTCCATTATTATAATTCTTGATGATCAGCGCTCGTTTATGGGTGTTCAGGTGTTGTTGCTCTCCATGAAAAATTTCTAGAACTTCGTAACTGCTCATTGAGGTCGATGTGTATAAATCTGGATGAGGATCAGAAACATGCTTTCATTTACGTTTAAGATGATGTATCCATTTATATTGGACATGGCCTTGAGTATCTGGATGCCTTGTCTTATCATAAACCTCATTCCTTTGTTGCGTTTTCCAGGCCTTTATGATATTGGTCGATTCCCTGAGTTCAAATCATTGCAGTGCAGTGTAGTTTGAGTTTCTGAAGTCTTTCAAGTTATATAATTATTATTTCTTCTTTGGCAATAGATTTGGTAAGTAAATGTTGATAGTTCGGTTAGTGCTGATTGTTGACTACACAAAATAGGATGTGGAATTGATACACTATCAATTTCAGTTATTGCTCTGAATGACTCACACTCATAATTACGAACAGATCAACTAGAAAGAATGTTGAACCATGGTGAATAATGAAACAACATTGAAAAACTAAAAGATCGGGACAATTTTTCGGAATGGAAGTTTCACACGAGTGCCGTAATAGCATTGTTCAAAATAATCCTTTCCTTAGATAAGTCGGAAAACCATCGTGTTACTGTTATGCAATCGGCAAAAATCGTACTCTGAGTCTCAGCCTGGAATGCGCTTGAAAAAGCATTACAGGATAAGCGACTGCATCGCAAATGTAATTCGGTATTTATTATTACTACAATTCGGAAGTTAATAGACCTTCTTCTAGGTAGCTTCTGAAGTTTCCGGAACAGAAAAAAAGCATCCATGAAATTGTCGTACACACGAATCACAAAATAGATCTATATAACCCTTGTTTATCACATCGTTAGCCATTCTACACATTTTGTAGTCAATGGTGAATTCATACCATTCATGCCATAATTGGTTTTATGAAATGAAACATCATAAATATCCCTTTCCCTAGCATTAATGCCAACCTTCTCAAGGAGTATTGGAGAATCAATAAAACCATTTGATATTTTATACATAAAGTTGAAATGTAGAAATATTTTCTTCTATTCTCCAAACAAGTAGATGTTTCATAACTTCAAAGGAGTCAATTTCCTAAAAAGGGTTATGCAGTTTCACACCAATTCTCCTAAAAAAATCTCCGTTGGGTTCTCTCTAACTTTTCATAATGAACCACATAATGAGGATGCAATGTGCAAGTGGCATACTCGCAAACTGAACGTCCAGTGCATAATACAACAGCGAACGCACGCAAGGGCCGGAAAACAAAACCCAACATTCTCATCATAGGGTTTAACTTAGTTTTATGAACACAATTACATCACAGAGTCAAACAAGTAAAAAAAACAAACATGACTAAAAAGTAACATACCTATTACAATTAACAATCTGTAGATTGGCTATAACAAACAAGACATTTTTCAATTTTTTTTTCAAATACACCATGAGCCACAAAATAAATCTATATCACCCTTGTTTATCACATCGTTAGCCATTCTAAACATTCTAGTCAATGGTGAATTCATACCATGATTGGTCCTATGACAGGATCAATGTGATTTATGAAAGACAACTCCGCGTCCAGCCAGACACCCAAATCCTTTACCATTTACCAAGGTCTGTCTTAGTCTCTCAAGTTCAACTGAATCCAGGGAATAATTGAATTGAAAGGCATTCCTTAATCTACTAAAGAAAGTGACCTTGTATTCATTTGCATTCAATGTCAAATTGTTGATCTTACACTAGAGTAAACCTGTCAAGATCCCCCTGCAGAACCCTTCAATCATCCTGCGATCTGATCACCATGAATGACTTCAGATCATCAGCGAAGAGCCAAGGCAATAAACTGACAGACACGAAAAACATCCCCTACGTCATTAAGAAAATATAATTAGGCAGAAAAGCTGTAAGATGTGCACCCTGCGGTACACCCGATGTAACCAATATATGAGAGGAAATATAATTTATGATTTTTACCGCCTGTTTCTGTCCAGTGGGATTACTCTGAAAGCAATCAAGAAGAACTTCAAAAATCCTCATGGCTTGGAGCTTTTTTTATTAGTATGCCATGATCCATCCTATCGGAAGCCTTCGAGAAATCAGTGTAAACTGAGTCCACCTGACTCCCATTCTCGAGAGCTTCCAACAAGAACTGTACATAAC